GCATGCCGATTACGCAGGTGATGGACCCGGATGTACCGATCTTGAAGGGGGTCGTGATTCTTGGCCTTCCACTTCTCGGGCGATCGTTGGTCAAATTGAAGTTGTTGTAGCGGCTCCAAAGTCGGGATATCGTTGTTTTGTGAACATTTAGGTGCCGTGCAACAGTTCCAAAACTTTCTCCGGCTTGAACACGACCAATGGCGATATTTCGGTCGGCAGCACTCAATCGTGGCATTTTAACACAGCTTTTCGGCGACAAATGAATGAATATAATACGGAACCACATGGGCTTTTATACACCCCTACATTAACTGCCATTTTCATGATTTGCATGTGTTTTTTTTGTGCGAAGTCACCATGAGGGTCATTTCATGCGTTGTGACGGAATAAGCAATAAAATACACTTATGCGTACAAATGCAGTTGTTTGGATGGTAATCTTCATTAATTACGTGTATCATTTCATTACATTCGAATAAAATTTAGTTTGGAAGCAATAACTTCATTCAAACGAATTTTTCATATCTGAGGACAGGGGTTGCGTTTCTTTTTTTGACAGAGTTTAGATTAAAAAATAGATTTGGCTGAATGATTACAAACGTCATCAAAACGTTACAAGGTGGAAGGGGCGGTGGGGTAGCCTAGTGGTTAAAGCGTTAGCTCATCACGCTGAAGGCCCGAGTTCGATTCCCCACATGGGTACAATGTGTAGAGCCCATTTATGGTGTCCCCTGCCGTGATATTGCTGGAATATTGATAAAAGCGGCGTAAAAACTCACTCACTACTTGGCGGGACGCTGTGCACGCGTTGGGTCAACACATCATTCTGCCACCATCAAACATAAGTGTGCTGTCAGTTTATATCAGGGCCGGTTTTAATTGACTGAGATTATACTAGACAAACTAGTGACTGAAAGCATGAGCATACATCAGGGTAAGCAGTCGAGACCGATATCCTGACTATACGAACCATGTCTCAGTTGGTTGTGGAGTGAGTGAGTGAGTGAGTGAGTGAGTGAGTGAGTGAGTGAGTTGGGATTCACACCGCTTTTAGCAATATTCCAGCAATATCACGCTGGGGACACCAGAAAAATGATTTCCCACACTGAACCCCGATATTCGGCATAACAAGAGAACGCTTAAACCACTAGGCTGTCCTGCTACCCTTTTTTGGCTTGGGGTGATGTACCGCTGCATATTCTGAGTGAATGCGAATTGAACGGTGACATTTTGAGAGTATATTCTGTTTGATGTTACCTTGTATCATGTGAAGGTGTCGGCGACTGTAAAAGTCAGTCCCAACACGCAGTCGTATGTTCGAATCCCACCCACGTCCTGATTACCATTTTTGGCTTGTTCCAAGGTTTCTTTAAGTGTCCAGCTATTCTTAGGTTTTCTATGCTTACTCCACATGATACAACTTGTATATCATATCGGCTCACTCAACGATGAGATAGACAGGGTTATGTGAGTAGTGTTGTTTAATATATTTAGCTGCATTCCAGTCATTGTACAACAGCCTCACCAGAAGTGGGCATCACGCTTTGTACGGGCCTTCTGAGCGGCGAGTTACGCGATTATCACTTGGTTACCCCATCGCCAATAGATAAGAATAAGAAAACCACAAGCTTTCCATTGTGTACACAATCACAGACATGAGCTTTAAGGATAAAGCTTTTATACAAATGTGTACATTCTTCGTACTTCATAACATTAAAACCGTAACAAATGTACGAGCGTGTGTACGTGTGTGCGTGCGTGCGTCTATTTATAGTATTTTCAAAAATCATGAGGCGAACCAGCCCCGGTCTCGCTTCCCTTGCGTTGTCTACGATCCAAGGGAGGCCACTCTACTTTTCCAACCCAAGATAAACGATTACTGCTATACCTGTGGCAGAGTGGTCCGTAAACTGTACAAATATATATGAAACTATTGCTTCACAATTTGCAATATCACGGTTACTTATTGATCCGTGTGCTTTTCACCTACTAAAAGTACCATCTTAATTATTACATATGATAAATGTAAAACTCGAAATATCAACATAAACGGTCTCGTGTATTGGTCCAGCTTACGACATTAAAAGTGGAAGCTCAGTAGCCTCTGGACGAAATGAGAGAAATGACGATTAGATCCAATCGTCACGTGTAAGTTGTTGAAGTTTCTATATTTCAGGATGACGGTATTCAACAAAGATCTAAGGAAATCCTATTAACTACCTTTCATTCCACCAATCGGAGCGTCGCTCAGCAGATCGGGAAAGTGCCAGTCGGAATGGGTTTTTTCTCATCATGTAACCCCAAAAAGCAAAAAGTTTTCCGAACGACAGTTATGGGCTGTACGACTGACTCCATCAAAACGATCGTTCTTTTGAATTCCTATATATTTCACAACATAGTCTGGAATGGAAGTCTGGGCCTAGATTTTCGAAGCTCTCTTAGCGCTAAGATAGTCGTAAGTTAATGTTAATGAATGGCACTTACGACTATCTTAGCGCTAAGAGAGCTTTCGAAAATCTAGGCCCTGGTGTTCGTGATAGGCTCTGGGGTAACCTGTAATGGGATCCTGAGATCTTTGCGCTGCGAGCACTAAGAGCAATGTTCCGTTGAAAGATAACGCCTGTTTCATATTGGCAATAACGTGCAGCTCAAAGATTTCACCAGAATATTGTTCGGCCATTAAGCTGTCGTTCATTTGCACTATGTTTCTCGTATTTGCGTGGGTGGTGTCTTCCAGAGTTTCCAACCCCGAGAGGGAAAAAAGCGTGAGATCCGGTGTCCAAGGGCCGCTGGTCCCGGATAGTCCAGGGTGGACGACAACGCATGATTGTGAATTCCGTTCTCAGTAAGTTACTGAAATCAATGTAGATAGATTCGAGAAGCGGATTCATATATATATTTTTCATATGAACCCAGTATGTCATGAGAGCCAAAGGCGTGAGAGTTAGCAGGTATGGTCTTCCCATATCATCACTCTGACATTTCGACATATGTCGACTTCCGGTATAGAGCTGGTAACACCTTCATTGCGCCGGTACATCTTGGCTCTCCAATACGCTGAATACAACTTTAATCTGGACTTGCTGCTGTGAAGCCCGTTTCTGGTGTACCTCGCTGTGATATTGCTGGAATATTGCTAAAAGCGGTGTAAAACTAAACTCACTCACAAGCCACGCTGCTCATACGAACTTTGCGCTATCGCTGGGTAGGCCTTACGATGCGTGCCAAACACAGATGACGTTGTATAATGAATTGACGGTATGGTTAGGCTGTGACAAGCAGCCTGGCTATGACCAGTCTCAGGAACTCATCACCTCGGCACATCCTGAGAAATTTGACGCAATAATGCCCAGAAAAGCGCCCTCCTTCTTTCATATCATAATTTTGGATAACCCACCATGTCCTTGTACATTATTAAGATAACCATCTTCTAGACAGTCCAACAGTGCTATATACTAACCTGGTACAAAATTACACCATAACCATGCTCCACATATTGTTCATAAAACGTTTACCTCAAATGCCTTAAGTTAGTGAAAATTGAAAGTGTGCCGTATTTTCAACATGGGGCTGAAATGGGTTCGTCTCAGTTTGACAGAAACAAATAACTATATTTGAATTGGAAACTAGCCCATGTTAGGAGGGAGATTCAGAACTGGAACCGGGGGACAATCCAGATTGCCACACGGCTTTGCATTACAGTAAGGGTTGGAAAGTAAAAATAATATGGTGCAGAACATCCTTTCACAAAGCGCTAAGGTGATCGTAAGTCACTAAGGTTGCCTTAGTGCAATGTTAAAGAATGGGAGTTAAGGTTAACCTTAGTAAAGGTTGCTTCATGAAAAGAGCCCCAGGGCCCCGTTTCACAAAGCTCTCGTAAGCAAAAGCCTCGTAACTTTTCTCGTAGCATTTGTACACCCTATACTGTAACCGTTGACTTACAATAGTCGTAGCGCTACGAGAGCTTTGTGAAACGGGGCCCAGGACTGTAAGGCATACTGGAAATGGGTTAACTTGTTCTGGAACATTCGAGCAATTCAGAATGACTGACTGAGTTTAATTTTACGCCGCTTTTAGCAATATTCCAGCAACATCACGGCGGGGGACACAAGAAATGGGCTTCACACATTGTACCCATGTGGGGATTCGAACCCGGGTCTTCGGCGTGACGAGCCAACGCTTTAACCATTAGGCTAGCCCACCGCCCCCAATTCAGAATGATCCGAATGTCACCAGAACCGTTTGGTACCAATCGATGTAGCCGAACTGTCACGATTAACGATTACAGCATTACATGCTTACGTTTAGCTGTCTGTTTCTGAAGTCACCACTTAAAGTTGAAGCCCCACATCGATCCATTTGTTAAACTCGCAATTTTGTTACTCGCTAATGTACAGCAACTAAACTTGGATACATTTTTTATAGGGAGTTATCTGATCAACTAAAATAAACGGATTATTAACTATGAACAACTCATCGGGTGATCTTTGGTCTTCTGAAACCCATGTTTCGGGATCGGTGGTCAGGCTCGCTGACTTGGATGACACATGTCATCGTCTCCCAATTGCGTAGATCGATGCTCATGCTGTTGATCATTGGATTATCTGGTCCAGACTCGCTTATTTACAAACCGCTGTCATACAGCTGGAATATTGCTGAGTGCGGCGTTAAACAACAAACAAAACATTGGTTGATCTAGTTCCATAACACGATCGCCAAATGCACACATTTCCAAAGAGCTGTACCTCTGTGTGTTTATCGGTAACGTGAATCACATTGGCATCTTTACAGGATAAAATCTACTTGTATAAACACACGAAATGTCTGGCACAACGGCAACATTCAGATTTCAATGAAGAAATCAATGAAATCATGTCGTCACTGCCTCAACAAACGAGTCGTGCGATCTAAGGGAGGTAACTCTAAATGCCAGCGTTGTATATGCTTTTAACAATATTCGATATTTGACTCCCTCCGCGCGTGCTCGGCTTCAGCATGTTCAAGACACCTGCATGCTGGCGAGAGGGACATTGGTTTGTGTCTGAAGCATCGCCATGATGAGGCTGGATCATTGTGTGATGGACACGGAGTGTTTTGAGAGAAATAAATTTCTGAACGACCAACACCACCTGAGGTCCACCTTTGACAAAAACCAGGTAGGTGGGTTCTTCAATAATTTGTTCTGATTTTTGGTGAGTGTTAGATCAAAGACATGGACAGCTGACTTTGGCGATTCCAATATAATTTCTTAAGAAGGACTGTTAAAACACATTCCAACACAAAAAAAAATAAGAAAAATACATTTCAACTGACTTCCTTATTTTAAGTGTAACATTAAAAGGTAGTGTCCCATTTTTGACAGCGTCTTGGTCAATGTTCCGTTAAAGTGTGAAGCGTCGCTCTCAAACTGGGACTAACAGAATGACGTGACAGAGTTATGGCGTCATATCTTTCTGCCTGTGGCAGTGTTGTCCAGTGATTGGGGGCTTTGAAGTGATTGGCTTTCAAGAATAAACTGTTTTAGTTATAGTCTTTTTTGTTTTAGTTTTAGTTTTAGTCGTATCCGACTTCTGTTACAGTAACTCCCACAATCACTGGCTAATCAGTGATTAACTGTGAAACATGTGTGAGCCGAGGAATGTCAAAAATGGGACTACTGGCTAGATCAATTACAGAAGTGTGAAATTTCACTGTCAAAATTGGGACTACTGGCTAGATCAATTACAGAAGTGTGAAATTTCACTGTCAAAATTGGGACAACTGGCTAGATCAATTACAGAAGTGTGAAATTTCACTGTCAAAATTGGGACTAAACCCATTAAAATTGCCAAACAATATACGTACTTTTTACATTCGTGCTATCTTAATATTTGACCATCACATCAACGTTCACTCACTGAAAATAACTATTTCGATCATGTGTTTTCGGAACAAATTTTAAAACCGAGGAACTGAATTAAATTAAATAACTGGTTTATATGTTTCCATTGTGGATTCGACTAGTTGGGTATTCCATGTAGACTTGGCCCGTACTGAATCACTTTTGTTTTCAAGGATATCGAATTTCCCATGTCGTGAAAAACATTCAATCAAAGGCATGTTGTAAATTTCGTGTCTAATTAAACAGCTCTGGCAAACCGACTCTGGGATAGAGAGATGCTTTAGAGAGAGTTGCCACTGGGATCAATAGGATTCAATTAGGAGGTATCTATCGAAGTATTTTTTATATGATTATTATTTAATCCTAGAATTGAGCGAGCAATTTATACTGCTTGAACCGAACTTACAACAATTGTTTGTGACAACACAGAATATATATATATCAGTATAGATTAACCCATCAGTGAATCTACAGAAATACCCCAATTTTAAATCAAAATGATGTGGTAAAATATACTGAAAACGCTGAATACGATAAAGGCCCCGTCACTTTACAAAGTGCAGTAAACTGTTACAGAATTTACTGAATGATGGATGTGACATCAACATCATCAATATCACCATGATGACAGTTATTGTGTTCGTTCATAAAATGAACTTATTGCTTATGTCACCTGCATGCTTGTAATTCTTTTAATTTAGTATTTTATGTGGTTCTTTCTTTGGGACCAGAAAATTGTGTCGGAATTCGGAATGAACAGATGTCGGATATTTCAATGTTTAAAGGTCACATGCAACGTAAAACACAACTTTGCAGATTCTGATACCTTTCGGAATGGACTTACCGAAACAAATCATCAAAAATGCAAATTCAACTTATAAAGTTGAAAAATACCGCGATGAAAAAAACCGCGCGAAATCGGAGTTCAAACGTTTCACTAAATTTCCCCAGACTTTTCTGGGGAAAACGGGTTTCAACAGCTGGGCTGCGCTCATAGCATGTGCGCAGTGAAATAGGTTCGCGCAACTTGGAAGCGGGCTGTCTGGTGAATACTCGGTGAAGGCTTTGGTGTGAGCTATTTTCATAATGTTTTGTTGATATCTCACAGGCGCGAGCTTTTTATATGTTATGACAGTATATATACTGTTTATATAATTTCATTTGTCTATTTCCCCACACGTTCTTCTTACCGAGTCACTTTCTTAGTTCGATACTTAAAAGCAATGTCATTATTTAGCGTTGACAGAATTTCTAACTGTGATATACTATGTAGATATGTCGCTGTCACAGACAAAACTCAATGTCTTGTTTAATTGACACCTGTGTGTCTGCCTGCCTGTCTGCTAATGACAATATTCAATACACAACTGCGATCACTGACCACATGCAATTTGAACTTAACACCAATCAGGCTATACACCATAAACAAAACGCATTGATTTATGGCCCGAGTTCGGTCGCTGTCACATTATGTGATTACACAGACAGGCAGGTGTGATACTTGAACACATGACATGTTATGATGTCTGTTGATTGCAAAATGTTATACACAAAAAATGAGCATGTATTTACAAAACCCAACATCTCTATATATACACACACAATCAGCCGTGAGGGCATCTGCAAATGAACCAGCCGTTACACCAGCCCTGACTGGGTTCGGTATCCCGGCTGCTTCGTTTCGAGGGAGGTAAACCCAAGTACACAATATTGCACTTTTTGATTTTTCGCTCTCTTGATGACAACTGCGTCGCCAGTTATTTTTTTCACAGATTTCGGATAATTCAGATGTCGGATTACTTTTATTGCAAGGTTTTAGTACTCACTTTCACAACAGTCAGTGTAATTAAACTGTATAAATCAGAAACACATTTATTTTCCATTGTCAAAAAAACCAAACATACAAAGTACCTGTGTGGTTGTTTTAGGTTCCGTCTTGGGCTGTAGTTCCACCAGCTTTAATGGCTAAAGTGAAAGCCAAACAATGAATAATTGAAAAATCAATAAGTGAGTTAAGAAGCTGAGCAATTTTTGTTAGTGTCCTTCAAGTGATTGTATCGATTTTATCCGATTTCATACCAGCCAAGCACGCCAGCTTAGAACGGTCTGCTTCCCTGCACCTTAATAGAGCAGGTGCTCTTTCTTACGTCATGTTATTGGCCTTAGATACTGGCATGATCGTTGTCCCCAGTTGATGGAGTCCTTCTTAATTCAGGTTATTTATGCGGGGAGAATTACTCTCGTTATGGAAATATGAAATCGTTTTATTGCCATTTTACTACCATGATAAAAAGGGGATTTAAGTGTTCATTTGTCATATATTGATAGCTCACGGAAGAAATACGTCTTTCATTATTGTTATTCTGGAGTCGCTGATTAATTACATTTTTTTCACAGTATTTTCTTCTACGGCTTGGGATTATTGTCAATACGTTTGATATAAACGATTAAGCGGAAAGTCACGAAAAGAAAATATTTTTTTGTTATTTGCAAAGAAATTGGATGATTTAATGAACAATACAAAAATGAATAATATAGAATTTACCACACCCACCAAGAGCATAGGCTTATTAATAACAATTAATAACAATCGCCAATCGGTTAATGCGTCCGACCACCACTACTGAGGTACAGGTTCAGTTCTCCACAAAGGTACACTGTGAAAATAATGACAACTCTCATTGTACCACACATATAGCCATTCGGTAATACCTGTCTTCCTTGGAACATGAAAACAGGCAACTGGTTTGTCAAAACTTCTCACAAAAGAGATAACTACAGCTTCAGCTTAGGCGTATACAAAGATCAACCACATCTCATTGATGTCCCTCCGGGTACCCACTCCTGAACCAGGACTACCCCTAGACTATAGGACGGAAGAGTCTGGGGCTTCACCTATATCAGCCAGACTAAACAGCCATGATAATATTAGAAATATATAATATCTCTCATATGTTTCTATCAGCTGACAAAAGTGATGTCTTCAGTTTTCTGAGAATCAGCTTATGCGGAGCTCAGTTGTTGAACAATCACAAATTACAAAGTATTCATTCATTCATTCTTCAAGCAGTAGCGAGAACTTGAGTAGTTCCTGCATAGAGACATATAAGATTTTGTCAATGTTGCATAGACCCTATAGTAGAATCAGAATACCATTTGCCTTCAGTTTCCATTTTATGCATATTTAAGATATTGAATTCTACCACATATCATTGCTATTATTATTATTAACAGCCAAACTTACAATGTTGTTCTCCACCTCAACTCAGCCAAGGAAAAAAATATTGTTAGCACTTAAGAAACAATTGTTTAATGACATTAACTATCCTACGTAGTATTACTGTCTACTCTGTATCTGTTACAGGGAATGTGTGAAACCAGGGATTTCACAAAATCCCTAAAAGAATCAGTGAGGGGCCAAAATGAAATGCGTCTAACACTTTTTCGATAAATTCACATTCTAAAGAGTCAAATGCCTTTTCAAAATCAACCGTTACTATAAGTCCGGGGAGTTTATGTACTTCACAGTGAGAAAAACGTTGGTCCACGCAAATAAGAAGAAGAATCCCGCTATTTGCACACGAAATAAGAGTAGAAAGGAGCGAATGAAGCAGGAGCTTAAGATACACGCATTTAAAGCAGCGAGAAAATGACCTTGGCACCCCCACTCAAGGTAGTAATTAGATATGGTTTAAACATATTTTATTCTATTCAAGAAGAAAGAAAAGGATTGGCAAACAAGCCTAAATGGCTTATATTAATGCCGCTCCATAATACATGTGAAGGTTCACATTTGTGCATAATACATATTTATAGTGGTTATAACAAGTTATCTCTGAATAATAACAATCATGGATATCAACAATTTATCTTGGTTTTGTTTCGTGGCCAGTTGATACAAATAAAAAAATAAGAGAAGCTACAAAACTTTATGAATCAAAACGTTTTGATGTAATAATGAATTGATGGACTGACCGTAGAATATCCATATTCGTCTGATGAGATACTGAGTTATTGCCATTTAGCACATCCCGCAGGGAGAAACCTTTCACATAGAAATACGATTCGTATCGAATGGTATTATATTTAGGACACATGAAAAAATAGTGGAATACATCCTCATAATCTTGTGAGCAGGAACAAGAAGCATTATCAGAAATGAAACGATTATACTTATCACTGTTTAAGTCACTGCATCCCAATCTAAGGCGGCAGTGTATTATTTGACAAAATCGACTACCAAAATTTAGATCGAACATTGTGTTGGTATTAACT